TATTTATTTTAATAACTTGCCTGGACTAAAACTATGAAATTCATTTCCCATGCCATATGTGACCACTGATATCTCTGCTTAGTGTTTTTTTTTGTTTGTTTGTTTGTTTTTGTTTTGTGTTTTTTTTTCCTTATTCTTGTTTTAATTCTTAAGCCTGGCCATGTAGAATTTATTCCTGTGCACTTACAGCTTAGTGGTTGAACACCTTAAGCTAGTAAGGCTTCTCCTGTCTGATGATGGATTTGTGTATAGATTCAGAAGTACATTTAAAGTTCAGGCAGTTTTCTTGTTTATTCCAGCTTTTACTTTCTGCCGAGTCCTCTCTTGTCTCCTCTGTGCATGTGTGGCTGGGATGTGTAAATAGCTGGAACCCTTTCTGGTCTCCCCTTGCTTGCTCACTGCCTCCAGTCAGCCTGGGGTATGTGGAGAGCCTGCCAAATGCCTTTATTACTGTTTCACATCCCCACATCTCCTTTTAAATTTCTGGCTTACCTGCCATTCCATTGTTTTCTCCTACTAGAACAACACCTCATCCTAGAAGAATCACTGGCCTTCAATGTTTTCTTGCCACCAAGATTATTAATACTGACAATGCCACTGGGTGTGGGTTTTTCACCTTTTGTTCCAAATCATGTCAGCCCCCTCCAGCAGTGAAGCTGCTGGTTGTTTGCAGCCTGCCCTGCCGTAAAGCTGGGTGGGGTCTGAGAACCAGCCCAGGCAAGCATGTCACAGATTTCCACTCTTACTATGTGAAGTTCAGTAGTTCTTCACAGATGGTTAAGCATTCGGCTGCCAACTGAAAGGTTGGCAATTCAGACCCACCCAGCAGCTCCACAGGAGAAAGACCTGGTGATCTGCTTCAGTAAAGATTACAGCTTAGGAAACCCTATGGGGCAGTTCTACTCTGTCATATAGGGTCGCCATGAGTCCAAAATTGACTGTACCGCCCCTAACAGCAGCACCTTTGTCGAAAGCCCTTGGTTGATATCCAGAGTGCTGAAATGCTTGCTTTTGATAATTTTGTGTAGTATTGTAGTTGCTTTTTGGGAGAGAGGATTTGACAGCGTCACTCCATCACGCTGGAAGTTTAGCTTTTTTTTTTGGTCATCGTTTGCATGGTATGTTTTTATCATTCACATTTAGTCTATTTATGTATTTATAGTTAAAATGGCTTTGTTTTAGATAGGCTAGAATAGGGTCTTGTTTTTAAATCAGTTTGATAATCTCTGTCTTTTAATTGGTGTGCTCAGACTATTTATATTTAATGTAATTATTGATATTGTTAGATTTAGGTCTACCATTCTATTATTTGTTTTCTGCTTGTAACCTCTGTTTTTGTTTTTCTGTTCCCTTTTTATTGCTGTCTTTCGTATTATTTGAATACTTGTTAATATCCTATTTTAATTTGTTGGCTTTATCTTTTTGTATTTCCTTTATTTTTAGTGATTTACTTAGAGACTACATTATAAATATCTTACAAATCCATTTTGAAAGCTCTTTTACTTCCCCCCGCTGACCTTTGTGTTATTCTTGTCGTAAGTAGTACATCTTCACATATTGGAAACCACATCAGACAATGCTATAATTTTTGCTTTCAGCAGTCATACTCATTTTTTTAAATAATATTTTATTGAGTTTTTGGTGAAAGTTTACATAGCAAGTAGGCTCTCATTTGACATTTCCCACACAAATTATTCAGTGACATTACTCACATTTATCACAATATATCAACATTCTCTTTAATTGTGTTCTGTTTGTTCCATTTCCAGTACTCTGGTTTCCCTGCCCCCATATCTTCTCATCTTTGCTTTTGAATAATTGTTGAGCTTTTGGTGTCATACAGATAGTTTTTAAGTAGCGCACCAAACTTAGAGGTAATATCCTTTATTTTGTGTGGCACTCTGCTTTTTCACCTTTTAATGATCTCAGGAGATATGCTCGGTTCTAGTTTTAAAGAGTGTCTTAGGGTGATGGTCTCAGGGTATTCTCTGTTCTCTACTGTTTCAGTTTGTCTGGTTTGCTTTTTTAAGAATTTGAAGAAATATGCACTGATTTTATGGAAGACCCTTGGTATGTCATATAGCGTTTTTCTCTTGTTGCTTTCAGAATTCTCTCCTAGTCTTTGTTTCCCAAGAATTTTATTAGGATATGGCGTGGATTTGATTTTTTTGTGTTTCTTCTAATTTGGGATGGCATAGCTTCCTGTGTTTGCAGGCTTGGTTCTCTATTCAGGTCTGGGAAATTCTGATTATCTCCTGGAAAATTGTTTCTATACCTTTATTGTTGTCGTGGTGCTCTGGGATTCCAATAATTCTAATGTTAGATTTCTTAATTGAATCCTGTATTTCTGTTTGGGTTTGTTTGGGTTTGTTTGCTTTTCTTTGTTCTTTTCTCTTATTTCTCTTGAGACTTGATAAGTTCAGGTATTTTGTCTTCTAGTTCATTTAGTCTGTCTTCTCTCTGTTTGACTCTGTTGTTGAGTGGTTCTCTTGCTTTTTCTAATTCAGTTACTTTATTCTTCAGTTCCACTACTCTTTGGATGTTTTCTTTTTTTTTTTTGATGTCTTGAATTTCCTTGTTGAGTCTCTCATTTTGTTCCTCCATTTGTTTCCTGATCTTCACTAGTTTGTTTTCTGCATTGTTTTTGCTTTCTTTAAACACATTTAGCATCATAGTCTGAAAATTTTCAATTCATTTCATTAGTCTGGCCCAAGTAGGAGAAATTTCCTCTTCTTCATGTTTTACTTTTGTTTGCTCCTTCTCATGATTTTGTGTTTTACTATTTTTATTGAACTTGGGCCATTTTTGTTTTCTTTTTTTTTTTTTTACTTTTAATTTTCTATCCTGTTTTTTGTGGGACATTTTTCTCATTGGGCACCCTGGTGGCACAGTGGCCATGCACCAGGCTGTCAACCGAAAGGCCGGGGCCCATACCCACCAGCCTCTCCATGGGAGAAAAATGTGGCAGCCTGCCTCCACAAAGGCTCACAGCCCTGGAAACTCCATGGGGCAGAATTGATCCAGTAGCAGTTGGCCTGATATCTTCTGAGAAGCACTGAAGGTCAGTCATATCCTTAGGTTTCTTTCAGTGTTGATTCAGGAGTTCTGGTTGCTTGATTTCTGAAATTCAATACACATACACAGAGTAGGGGGTTTAGTTGGTTGCAGATGCTGACATAAGCAGTAGAACTCGACTTTCCTATGGCAAAGGTGGGGGGTTCTCTATGTCTTGCCCCCACAGATGCCCCTGCACAGGCTCTCCCATGGTGTCTCACTGTGGGCAAGGAGCTGGCTGTTTTCCTCTGTGTTGCCCGTCTGTCTGAAGTATTTCCCTCGCCCTGCTGCCCTTGCAGTTCTTCCTGGTCCTAGTGCCCATTCATCTTGGACCTCAGCAAGATTCAGCAGCACTCTTCACGTTGCCACAGTCTCCCTTCCTCCCCCTCCCAATTGCATGGCCCACGAACTCCCACGGCCTATCTTCATTGCCTTAAAAAATCAGGCTACAGCTTCTTCAGATTAGCTCCCTTTTTGTGTTACCTGTTTGGGGCATTGCCCATCCCTATCCCAAAATGACTGTGATGAGTGAGTGCTGCAGATGTTAGCTGGTAGGTGCTCCCAGCTTCTGTGCCATCCCCGCTCCTTCTCTCCCCCGCTTCTGGACTAACCCCAACTCTCCAATGCCTCACCTGGCATCTGGAGTTCTGAGATCTCAGTCTGCGCTTCTTTTTATTCGTCGTTCAGTAGGTTAGTTGCTGGAGGAGTAAATGGGAGCATCCACTCACTTTGCCATCTTGCTCCATCCTAGTCATACATATTTTAAAGAACTTAAGAGGAGAAAATAATAGTCTACAGGCAGTCCCTGGGTTACGAACATCCGACTTAAGAATGGACAGCTCGTACTTGCACTTCCATGTTAATGTCAGTTTGCCCTCACTTTGAAACTATTGAAGCCATCCCTACTCGTAACAAAGTCTTCATCATAATTACTTTCACTTGCTGCACATTTAGCTTTTAAATCATTGAAAAGCCTTCAAGCCTTTTCTTGCACTAAAGTAAGGCTAAACTAGAACCATATGCACCTGTTCCAACTTACCTATAAATTCAACTTAAAGACAAAGGAATGGATCTCGTTCATAACCCAGAGACTGCCTGTATTATATTTACTGCTATATAAATTCTTAAATTTGAATTCTTGAATTTATAAAAATAATGGCTGAAATTTCCAAAACTTGGTGAAAGACATAAATTAACAGATTCAAAAAGCTGTGTAGACCCCAAATAGGATAAATTTCAAGAAACTCATTTGCAGAGACATCATAATCAATCTGCTGAAAGCTAAGGATAAGGAAAAGAGCTTGAAAGCACCTAAAGAAAAATGATGCATTACATATTGGAGAACACTGAGTCAGATAGCTGTGTTTCTTCTCAGATACCATGGAGGCAAGACGAAAGTGGAACAGCATCTTTAAAGGACTGCCAAAAAAAAAAGAATGGTCAACTCAGAATTCTATGACCAGTTTTTGTCAAGTGAACTCTAACTCTTGGTAACCCCATGAGTGTCAGAGTAGAACTGTGTTCCATACGGTTTTCAATGGCTGGTTTTTCAGAAGTAGATTGTCCAGCCTCTGGTTAGACTTGAACCTCCAGCCTTTTGGGTAGCAGCCTAGTGAGTCAACTGCTTGCACCAATCAGAGAACCCCTGAATTTTATATCTACGGAAAATAATCTTTAGGAATTATGGTGATATAAAGACGTTCCCAGATAAAGGGAAACTAAGAGAATTTGTTGCCAGCAGACCTCCTCTAAAACAAATGCTAAAAGAAGTTCTTCAGGATAAAGTGAAATGATACAAGAAGGAAACTTGGATCTTCAGTAATGAATGAAGAACAAAAAAGTTATTTAAAAGCATCCTGTTGTCCTGGCCTCAGTGCAGGTTCTATATTTGACCAAATTTGCTGGTATATGTTTGGCTGCTTTTTTTTTTTTTTTTTTTTTTCCAGTTTTTAACTTGAGCCTACACTTTGAACTCTTTTTATTCCTGCCTAATGTCTTGCTAAGGAGCCCTGATGGCACAGTGGTTAAGCACTCAGCTGCTAACCGAAAACTCAGCAGTTTGAACCCACCAGCTGCTCCACCGAAGAAAGGTATGGCAGTCTGCTTCTGTAAAGATTACAGCCTTGGAAACCCTATGGGGCCGTTGTACTCTGTCCTGTAGGGTCACTGTGAATCGGGATCAACTCCTTGGTAACAAGTTTAGTTTTAGTTTAATGTGTTGCTACCCCAGGTTCATTTCCTGTTTCTTGTGTTTAAGTAGAATCTTAGATAAAGTTTGTTTGATTCCATTGCTTTCTAAAGGTGTTATTTTCTGTCACCGAGCTTTACAAGTATATATTTTAATTGATTATTGAAATAAAAGGTGTCATATATAGTGTTAGATTTGTGGCCTGTTATCAAATGGTCATAAAAATTACGTTTAGTTCGGTCCACTCATGAAGCTGTTTAGTTTTATTTCTCTAATTCCCCCAGATACTTTCATAGTATGACAAAATCATTAATTTTCCAACCATTTTATATATAATATTCAACTCAGCATTTTAGTTGGTATAACAATTAGATCAATTTTTTTCTAACTGCTGAAAGAGCCTACATATTAAGCTACTTAGAAAAATATCTTTTTATTACATTTGTTCATTTAATATAGGCAGTCCTGCATTTTTCAGACTTAATGAAATAATATTTTTTTAATTCATGACATACAGGAAGCCAGAAATGTCAGTTCCTCTTTTCCTTTCCCATTCCTCAATACCTTGGCCTTTGGTACTGACAGTATGAATTTTCCCTTTCTTTGTCAAAAGCATTAATAATTTTAATATCTGAAATATGTGTGCACATCTGCCAAAGCAAAGTATTAATCTGATACCACTGCAAAAGTATATAATCAAATTATAGAAAATTTGAATGCATTTGTTGTTGTTAGGTGCTGTCAAGTTGGCTCCTACTCATAGCGACCTTACATGAATAGAATGAAATGTTGCCCAGTACTACGACATTCTCACAGTCGTTGCTATGTTTGAGCCCATAGTTATAGCCACTGTGTCAGTCCATCTCTTTGAGGGTCTCCCTCTTTTTTTCTGACCCTTTTACTTTACCAAGCATGATGTCTTTCTCCAGCTATCGGTCCCTCCTGATGACATGCCCAAAGTACGTGAGATGAAGTCTCACCATCCTTGTTTCTAATGAGCATTCTGGCTGTGCTTTCTCTAAGACAGATTTGTTCACTCTTCTGGCAGTCCATGGTATGTTCAATATTCTTTGCCAACACCGCAATTTAAACATGTCAGTTCTTCTTTGGTCTTCCTTTTTCATTGTCCAGCTTTCATGTGCATATAAGGCAATTGAAAATATCATAGGTTGGGTCAGGCGTATCTTAGTCTTCAAAGTGACAGCTTTGTTTTTTACACTGTAAAGAGGTCTTCTGCAGCAGATTTGCCCAATGCCCTACATTGTTTCTTGACTGCTGCATCCATGGGCCTTGATTGTTGGTCCAAGAAGAATGAAATCCTTGATAACTTTTAATTTCATTGCCATTTATTATGATGTTGTTTATTGGTCCAGTTGTAAGGATTTTTATTTTCATTTTGTTCAGATGTAAGCCATACTGAAGGCTGTAGTCTTCGACCTTCATCAGTAAGTGCTTCAAATCCTGTTCACTTTTGGCAAGCAAGGTTGTGTCATCTGCATATTTCAGGTTGTTAATGAGTCTTCCTTCAGTCCTGATACCCCATTCTTCATATTACCCAGCTTCTCAGATTATTTCTTCAGCATACAGATTGAATAAATTTGGTAAAAGGATACAACCCTGCCCACACCTTTTCCAATTTTAAACCAGGCAGTATCCTCTTTTTCTATTTAAACGACTACCTCTTGATCCATGTATAGGCTCCATATGAACACAATGAAGTGTTCTGGAATTCCCATTCTTCACAACGTTATACATATTTGTTACGAGCCACACAGTTGAATGCCTTTGTGTATCCAATAAAACATGGGTAAACATCTTTCTGATACTGTCTGCTTTCAGTCAAGATCCATCTGACATCAGCAGTGATATCCCTTGTTCCACGTCCTCTTCTGAATCCAGCCTCAACTTCTGGCAGTACCCTGTCAATGTATGACTATAGCTGTTTTTGAATTATCTTCAGCAAAATTTTGCTAGCATGTGATTTTAATGAAAACCAATCCAAACCCATCACTGTCAAGTAGATTCCAACTCACAGCGACCCTATAGGACAGAATAGAACTGCCCTAAAAGGTTTCCAGAGAGTGGCTGGTGGGTTTGAACTGACGACCTTTTGGTTAGCTGCCAGCCTTTTGGTTAGCAGTTGAGCTCTTAACCACTGCGCCACCAGGGCTCCATGATATTAATAGTATGGTATTATTGCCCATTTCACATTACAATGAGGCAAAGCTCAGTTAAAATGGAGGGCAATTCCAGGCATTAGTAATTTGTGCAGCCATGCCAAACACCATTTTTACACATTTAATTCTCTTAGAAATAATGATATCATTTTTTTTTGCTCTTATGTGAATTTTGATGGGTAATTTTTTTCAAATACTCCTAAGTAGGTCATTTATAGATACTGCAATTCAGAAGTACTAATGCATATTTAATACATTTTTCTATAAAAAATAATTTTTCAGCATTGCATCACCATACTTAGAATATAATAGTCTAGAAACTTTAATATTATCTTTGACTTTTTTCTATTTCATCATTTTTCACATCCAGTCAAATCTATTTGATGCTTCTCTTAAAACATCTCTGAACTTTACCTTGAAATTCTGTCACACTGCCTTTGTTCTAGTGAAATGTCTATGTGTTTTCTCAGCCTAGAATCTCTTTTCCATTTCCTTCTACATAGTTATCAGTCTAAACTTTCCAAAAGATTCCTGTCATCCTGTAAGAATCTTCAGGAGATATCATATTCTCATGGCAGTAAGTCCAAGCTTCTCCACCCAATTTTCATCATCATCCATGTTTCCACCAGTCCCAGTGTATTGAAATGGTGTCCTTGGCACTTGTTGGGCACCAGAGGAGCCATTTTACATGGTGTATTTAGTTTTTCAACTCCATGCCTTTCCTCATGCTTTCAACCCCTTCCACATCCCCTGCTAGGAATGTCGTATCCAAATCCTAACCCCATCAAGTTCCCATCTCCTTCAGTGAATCTTGAAAAAGCTACTCCAGCCCCTCATCAAACTCTTCTTTCTCTGAGCACCTCTTTCCCTCAGCACCTGTCCCACGTTATCTCTTACATGTAACGTGCTTCTCAGTGACAGAGACGTTTTCTCCTTCTTCTCTTGGCACCCGGCCCCATGCTGGGTAGCTGATTGGTTACACTTCTGCCCCATTTCACTCCTATTATCCTTTTATGAAGTTAAACCAGAAAAGTTTCTTGTTTCTTTTTTTTTTTTTTCTATTTACATCTTAAAACTTGATTCTTCCAACTCCCTCACCCCCATTTACCCCAAATCAGAATCAGTTTTTTAGTGAGATAGATAGGCAGACAAGCTTAGCTAGACGGAATATTGTGCTAATAGAGCCAGGGTGAATTTCACTCCCATGTGAATCAGATTCTCATAGAACAAAACTCCCATTCAGAGTCACAGGCTATATACTGAATCCTGCCTAAAAAACAAACAAAAACCTGTTGTCAATTCTGACCCCATGTGTCGCAGAGTAGAACTTTTCCATAGGGTTTTCTTGAGTGTAATCTTTGCAGAAGCACATGGCCAGGCCTTTCTTCTGTAACACCACTGGGTGGATTCAAACCACCAACCTTTATGTTAGTAGTCTAGTGCAAACTGTGCCACCTAGGGACCTTGAATCCTGCCTAACCATATTCAGATATGTATTTTGTTTAGTGTTGGGGAAATCGGGCAATAGAGAGCGAACTTCCTAGCACAAATTCCTTGTAAATATTAGGGGAAAAAAATCCTAAAAATTAATGTATTCTGCACTTGTATTACTTTTGTAAAGAAAAATAGTCATTACAACTTTTCCTGTTAATAGTGAGTTCATAGCAGGTGCCAGCAAACTTTTTCTATATAGTGTCAGGTAATAAATATTCTAGGCTTTGCAGGCCATATATGGTCTCTGTTGCATTTTGTTGTTGTTGTTGTTTACAGTCGTTAAAAAATGTAAAAATTAGTCTTAGCTTGTGGGCAGTACAAAAATAATAGACCAGATTTGGCCCGTGGGCCGTAGTTTGTTGACCCCTGGTCTGTAATGATAAGAAAAGTTAATCTGTTTAATTGGGCATCCAAGAGGGCAGAGGCTTTGGTACCAAATAGAGAAAACATTGTAATACTAATCCAAGTTCTGGACAAACTGGAATGTGCAGAGGAGTGCAATCAAGTGGTGGGAACATGGGAAACCGTAACCTAGAGAAATGGCTCAGGGAGCAGGATAAGGATTCTTTACGTTACTTGAGAGAAGGCTGAGAGATGACATTTTAGTGGCCTTCAACATGTAAGTGGCCAAGGTGCAGAAGTAGACTTGTACTGCACAGTACTTGCAGTACAGCCTAGAGTGGAGTGAGTAGCACTGGACAGAGTAAATATCCTTTCCCTAGAGATTTCTTGGCAGAGCCTCCTTTGCTCAGAGATGCCCAATATGGGTAGTCCCTTGCTTGCAGCATATTCGAGTTAGGACAAACAACACTTAGCCCATCTGTATTTCTTTTTCGGTTTTTTTTTTTTTTTTTTTTTTTTTGGTACATATTATCATTAGTAATATGTACTACACGCAATGTTGCAGCGCATAAAAGGACCGTACAGACACCTGTCACTAATTTTCTGACTAGAAACGCCATCTTTATTCCCAGCGATAATCCAGATCATCCAAAACCTTCCATAAGTGGTGTTATTACCCCAACTGACAAAATGCCGACATCGTCCATTTTTTTGATAGATGTGTGTGTGTATTAAAATATATCTGTAAGTTTATATATAATATTTCCAGATCCTAAAGACAAGTAAAGGTCAGATTTATAAAGATACTGAATAAGAGACAATGATAATGAAAACTAAAGAAAATGAAATGTTCAACTTACGTCAGAACTGACTTAGGACAGAGTTGTCAGAACAGAACTCCATTGTAAGTCAGGGACTACCTGTAGTGATTTTCCCGTAAAGACCTTACCAGTCTTCAACTTTAGTGACTTGGTAGATGATGAGTACATAATTGTACTCACCATGGAATGTTATAGATTATACATGTAGACATCAGTGCTGGGGGAATATTGGAGCAAATAGAAGTATTTAATTTGGATGGAATTAAAGTAAATCTTCATAGGCTATGTACACTTTAAGCAGTTTTTTTTTTTTAAGGAGCCAAATGGCTGGACAGTATAAAAAAATGATACCTAACAATGATTTCATGTTACTGTTGTACTCTTTACCTTGGTGATATTTTCCAAAAGATATCTTACCATATATACTCTTCTCTTAGCCCAGAATCCTTATGTTTAGTTCATATGACCAAGCTGCGCTTACTTGGTTACTCTATATTTCTAGATTTCCTACTGTCTACTTGAGGAGCCCTAGTGGTGTAATGGTTAAGAGCTTGGCTGCTAACCAAAAGATCAACAATTCGAATCCACCAGCCACTCCTTAGAAACCCTATGGGGCAGTTCTACTCTGTTCTGTAAGGTCACTATGAGTCGGAATCGACTCAATGACAATGGGTTTGCTTTTTTGTTTTTTTTACAATCTGCTTAGAAATGAAACTAGAAAAAATATCAAAAATCAGTCACCTTGACGGAACTTTAATCACTCTCTTCTCACTCTAGCAACAACTTTTGATGCATCAAGAAGGAGGAGAAACCATATTAACAAACTTCAGCTCAAATTCACACTTCATGTCTCTCCAGCCTTCTCATCCCCTTTCTTCATGCCAGCATTTTTCTCCATTCTGCCAGACTGATTTAAAGACAACTACCTAAGTTGAATTATTTGCGTATTAGGCTTAAATCTCGTGCGTCAGCGTTCACATCTGTGAAAATAGTTGCAGCTAATTTTATTTGGTAGAACTGTTTCAGTATTGTTTCATTTTATTTAATTAATTAAGTTAATCAGAATGCGATTTATCTTAATTTTGATTTTGGTTGTAGAGGTTGGCGATTTGAAGGAGCTGCAGACACTAGACATTTCTACCAATCGTTTGCTAACTTTACCCGAGAGGCTTCACCTGTGCCTTTCTCTGCAGTACCTGACTGTGGATCGGAATCGTCTATGGTGTGTACCTCGTCATCTCTGCCAGCTTCCCAGCCTCAACGAGCTCTCCATGGCTGGAAACCGTCTTGCGTTTTTGCCACTTGGTAAGTGATCATGTTTGTGTGGTAAAGCAAAACAGCCAAAGAATAAGATGGAAGCATTGTTTCCTTGATTAGGAGGGATTAATTCGTTTCTTTCTTTCTGCTTGTCTTGAAGATAGGCTCTCTAAATCCATTTTTTGCAGTGACCAAAGCATTATTCCCATTTAACAAAGTTTATTTATTTCGGTTTGGGATTTCATATTTAAAAAAAAGAAATCTGTTCTAAAAATTTGTTTAAGGATAAAACGTGAGATATGACATAATTTGCTCTTGAGAAAGGAATTAAAAATATACACACACATAAAACTATAAATTTGATAAAGGATATCGAGCAAGAAGAAAGGATAGCTTATCGACTGGTACAAATATATCTGTTTAGATGTTGACTTCTAGGTAGAAAACTTGGTATTGGGTGTCCTAATAATAAGCATTGCCAGATAGCCAGACTATAAAAATTTTATAAAGATTTTATAATTGCTAAACTTCCTGCTGAGCTAGAAGTGCCACCTTGGCTAATAAATAACACATTATCCATTATAGATTTCTGTAACTGGACCGTTTTGACATAGTATATATATGTCAAAGAACATAGGCCTTTAAGAAAACAGAATTAAATTATTTTGTTAACTTGCAAGAAACAAAAATGGCATTAGGCTCCACAGAACCCTAAACTGTTGTCATGGTTTGAATTATGTCCCCAAAAAAATGTGTGTATCAATTTGGCTAGGCCGTGATTCCTGGTACTGTGTGATTTTCCTGTATGTTGTAAACCTGCCTCTATGATGTTAATGATGGAGGATGGGTGGCAGTTATGTTAGTAACGCAGGATCTGATCTACAAGACTGGATTGTGTCCTGAGGCAATCTCTTGAGATATAAAAGACAGAAGTGAGCAGAGAGACAGGGGAGCCTCATACCATCAAGAAAGCAGTGCCAGTAGCAGAGCACGTCCTTTGGACGGGGTCCCTGTGCCGAGAAGCTCCTAGTCCTGGGGAACACCGAAGAGAAGGCTGACGGAGAGGAAAAGCCTTCCCCTGGAGCTGACACCCTGAAAGTGGACTTTTAGCCTACTTTGACTGTGAGGAAATAAACTTCTCTTCATTAAAACCATCCACTTGTGGTATTTCTGTTATAGCAGTACTAGATGACTAAGACAACTGTCATAATAAGCATCATATGATTTTACTTATAAAAGCATTTTTGTAGTGAATAATTTATCTGTGAGGACAATGAAGTGAATACTTTACTAGTCCCTACCAAAAGGAAATATTTTCAGCATATTACACTATACATATTATTTTCAATTTAAAATCTCTTCAAGAAAACTTTAAAATGCTGGAAGACATTAAAATCAATTTGAGTAATAATAAATAATTATCAAATTTAAGGAGACTACTTTTCCATAAATATAATTAAATTCCATACTCATAAACTTCACAAAATAAAACTACTTGAGAAGCAAGCTACATTTTTAAGAAATCGGCTTTTTTTTCAAGTGAGAATAATATCAAATATAAAGAGATTTTACAAAATAAATATTTCTGCTGCACTAACCCACAGGTTATAAAACAATTATAGTGGACAAGCAATTTACAAGTCTAAAGTTCCAGGCTCTAGCTTGGTTCTACCACTTCACAGTGAGTGACCTTGAGTAAATCACCAAAACCTCTCAGGGCTTCATTTTTCTTATCTGTAAAACAGAGATAATAATATTTATTCTGCTTACCTTAGAGTTACTTTGAAGTCAGATCAGATAGTTTATGTTTAAGAACTACAAAGCATTATACAAATGCAGATGACTCTCAGCTGAGAGAGCCCAATTTGGAGATGCCGTATCCTACTTTTTAAAAAATCTACCTCCGTTATCATATTCTAGATCGTAGTAACCACCAGAACAGGCCTATACCACTTCTAAGTGCTGACTCTCTACCAGTTGATTGCTAGGATGGTGTGATCAATGCTGATAATAAGCGGAGGAAGGGGAGGGCGGGAGGTAAAGAAAAGATCTGATGGTTTGATTTGTGTGGCATAAAGCCCAAAGTAGTGGCATAACATCAGATTAAATCTGCCAAGTCCAATATAAGCAACCCTTAACTTATTATGGTTTGACTTTCAAGTGTCCAGGAACAGATTAGCTTGTAAAGTTTGAGGTTGCCTATACTATTATTATTTGTAGTAGTATTATTATTACAGACCATATGTGTAAGAAGGAGTGTTGCCTCTCCATGCATACTAATAGTATTATATATACTACTATGGCTATTAGTAATAATAATAACAAAAAAAAAAACAAACTGCTGTCAACTCATAGCGACCCTACAGGACAGAGTAGAACTGCCCTACAGGGTTTCCAAGGCTGTAAATCTTTACAGAAGCCAACTGACACATCTTTCTCCTGCAGAGCAGCTAGTGGGTTCAAACTGCCGACCTTTCAGTTAGCAGCTGAGCGCTTTAACCACTGTATCACCAGGGCTTTATTGAGCACCCAGTTTTTGCCCAAGTGTTATGTTAAGCACCGTACAGATGCACTCTAATTTATTACAAAACCTATTATTACAAAACCTATCAACAACCTGATTTTACGGGTGGGGAAATTGAGATTCAGAGAAGTACGGTCACTGCTAGTAAGAAAGAGAGTCTGAGTTTCAGCTGTCTGATTCTAAGCCCTACATTCTGTCCACTTTGACATACTGTCTCCACATTCCAGGCAGGGTCCCTCTGCAAGGGGACTCCATTTGGGAATAGGGCTGAACTATATTGAGCATCTTTCTAGTTGTGGTATGGCCATCTTCATAGTCATATTTAGTTCGGTCCTTTGGGGTTCAAATACCCCTATAGGCACTCTAGTTGGCCTCATCTCTGTTTAGCTAGGGTCTGCCTGCCAGAAGCTATTGCTTTCTCTCACCTCCCCACTCTCTGCAGCAACCAGGTACTCCCACCTACTTGTCTTCACCCAGTCTTGCTTCAGCAGATCCTGCAGCAACAGAAATCTTATAAAACCCTAGGCCAGAGACCTATTATCTAGATCTTTCTTGGCGCTAGTGACCCTCTTACTTTGCCTGATGTCTTCAACTTCAACCAAAGCACCTGGTTACTTAATTTTTACTTTGTGCTCCTAACACCTTGTTTTTCCTTGCTTTCTTGTCCTCTTGATTCTTCAGTTACATACTCTTTGTCTCAACTCTAAACTGTTCATACCACTACTAGCTCCATCCTGCCTGCCAGAGTCTGATCCACCGCCCACTTCTCATGTCTGACACCCGGATATACTCTTATCAGAATCCCTGTCTACTTCTAGAAGCCTAACGCTGCCTTGTTCTGCCCAGTTCTCTAACTTGTTCTGACAGAACGAACAAATCTGTCTTAAAAAAAGTACAGCCAGAGTGCTCTTGGAAGCAAGGATGGCGAGACTTCGTCTCACGTACTTTGGACATCTTATCAGGAGGTATCAGTCCCCAGAGGAGGACATCATGCTTGGTAAGGTAGAGAATCAACAAAAAAGAGGAAGACCCTTGATGAGATGGATTGACACAGTGGCTGCAACAATAGGCTCAAACATAACAACAATCGTGAGAGTGGCACAGGACTAGGCACTGTTTCATTCTGTGTGTGAGGTCTCTATGAGTCAGAACCAGCTCTACAGTACTAACAACAAAAACAACTCTGCGCTAGAATCCCACTGAAATTGAATTTTTTTAAATGGAATGAATCTGGTTTATTAGTCTTCAGCACGTGGGCCCTGTCTCAAGTGCAGCAGCTTCCATGCTCATCCTCTTGCCTGTTCTCCCCACCTCGCTGCAGCTCCCACAGATCCAGCTATCTGCCCCCTGGTCGTTTTTAGCTCAGTCCTACCTGTTGTTCCAGCAGTGGAACAGGTGAGCATGTGCTGTGACTACAGGTGTTGGGAGAGTAGATGGAAGCCATTCTCTAGGAACCTGACCACCGTTCATGCTTGGAGTGCCAAGGAGTAACTTTGTGTATTGTGCTGAATGCTTACAGGAACAGATGACATGACTTGCAGTGACTGGTGATAGAAATGGCGTAGGGTAGAGAAGCATCTGCTATACATTGCTTGGCTGCTTCTCCATCTTGTCCTCCAGCCCACCTCCCAATTATTTACTGAGTGGCTTCTGTTTGCACTGTGCTAGATGCTGGTGTGGCTCAGAATGTGGGCATCTCTTCTTAAGTTCTCAACTTTCAGGGATCAGTAGAGCCTTAAAGGATAGTTTCTGTCTCCAGGTTTCTTGTCACCTTCCAAAGTCTTGCTTCTGTCAGGTGAAGTTTTCCTTTGTGAACTTGTTAATTTGATGTCAGAGTGCATTTGAGGCAACAGTAACCCTGGCTTAGGCATAAACATTTTCAAGGTTCTGCACTGGGCTCAAAGGAGGCTTTCTCACAACACTGATGTCACTACAACTCTCAAGTATGCAGCCATGGACAGCCCAGGAGACAAAAGTAGCTTCCACACTCCCCTGGGCACCATCCCAGCCTCACCATTTTATGAGCCCTGGGGCGCATGGTACAGCCTCAGCTGCCCGTCACTCCGAGAGACCCTTCAAGAGCGCGTTCTGAGTGCCAGTTCCAACTGCCTACATCCTATGCTGCCTTTCCATGGCTGGGCCTTCTCTCCCCCTGTGTGCCACCCAGACAGCACTGGCAGGACATAGGCCTGTGAAGGTGTTTCAACTTACTATAGAAAGAAATACAAACAGGAGGACGAGGATGAAGATTGTCCAGTAAGAAAGAAATAGGCTGACTAAAGCAATGTGCTTCCTGGTTCCAATGACCAGGTTCTTTGAGAGCAAAGGGTCAGGGAGCAAATATGTGCAGTGATGGCCCTTCTGCATCTGGCATACTGAATGTTCTTTATGAAAAAATGGATGAGACAAGAGAGCAGCAGGGTGAGGTGGCCCAAAGAAGGCTTCAGGAGAGTGGAGACAAGAAATCTGTGAAGATAAAGAAGCTGAAGCTGACAGAAATATTACTAATCTCCTCAGTCTTGGT